AGAGAGAGAGAGAGAGAGAGAGAGAGAAATAAAGACGAATATAGGATTTAAACCTGTATTTAAATACAAGGACACAAAACAAATGTCTGGGTCTGCTCTGTTGATTCCAGCTACATAGCTGTGGACAGCCAGCTCTGTCTGCATATGTAGCAGAGGTGAGCACATCTGAGAAACCTGTGACTATGGAAGGATGTTGTTATGGATTGTGTCTAGTTGTTCACCCAAAGCCTCATGCAAGTTATGGGGCTGACATGGCTGGAGGAGCAAAGAATGGCCTGAGGGGCGGGGCCAGAGAGGCTCCAACATTAACCTGGCTAGCTTTCTCAGAGATGTGGAGAGGGTCATCCTGGACACGGCAGCACCCTAGCCTGTTCTCCAGTAACTGTGAGCTAAATGAACCTTTCCTTCCCTCATTGTGAGTGTCGGGTATTTGTCCCAGCAACAACAGAAGAGTAACTGCGACAGATATGCTGATGGTATAGGAAAGCCTCTCAAGAACGCAAAAGCACCACCAGAATCAAAGTGCACAGTCAGCTCCTCTCACAGTGGGGTGGAGACCAGGCAGACACAGGTCAACCTGTGCAGAGGAGGGAAGTCCAGGTGGACAGAGGGCACAAATGGGTAAAGAAGTGTGACCTCAGACTCAGCCACATGGAGTACAGCTAGTAGGTAAATACACTTGCAGGTGCAGGGCTCAAAAAACATGAGCGTGGTTCGGAACATTATGTGGCAACTCTGAGTGGGTCTGTCTGTACTGATGAGTGCGTCAACATCACAAAGTCAACACGCCCTGATGGTGCCCTAAGTGCAGAAGCGGAGGAGCCCCACAGTAGGGAATAGAGAGGCTGATGGTCAAGCACTGTCCCAGCAGGTGAACAAACTGCAAAGGCATCTTTAGGAAGGGTCAACACAGGTAGACATGAGCTATGTTTTAGGAGTATTTTCTGACTACAAAACCCACTACCTCAAGGAAGACTTTATCAAACAGATGTGCTACATCTCTAGCCCAGCTTCCCCCCCACCCCAAATCAAATAAACAGTGGAGCTAGCTCGTTGGTTTAAGTGCCTGCCTGGCAAAGTCCTGAGTTCAATTCCCAGTACGACAATCTGTGTTGGCCCCGAAACAAGGTGTGGTAGCACACACCTGTAATCCCAGTGCTGGGGAGGCCGAGACAGGAGGATCACTATGAGTCTGAGCTGCATCGTGAGACCCTATACCAAATAAATAAAAACAACAAAAAGACTGTTTTCTTAGGAGACTATAAACATAACTGGGCAAAAAATTTTGTAAGTTTATAAAACTACAGCAACAGACTTTTTTAAATTTTAAGTTTAATTTTTTATTTATTTATTTTTTAATGGAAACATCTCTCAGGTGAGTTATAAAGGTGAAAAGCATATATCTATTCAGAAACTGACCTAGCAGTTGTGGCTGGGTGACCTCCACGATTTTTCTTAGTGTGGTATAATTCTCAAGTGTGGAATCTGTCCTGGCATTAAAAGATAAATATGTGGCCAGGGATACAGCTCAGTGGTGCAGTGCTTGCTTGGGGAGTGCAAGGTCATGAGTTTGATTTCCGACACACACACACACACACACACACACACACACACACACACACACACAGATAAATATAATTCAACCACTCACATCCAATTTAACCTTTGTCAAGCCACAAGAGAGGGTAGCAATATGGTACTTCGAGCTACAAATGGTGATTTCTGTCTCTTTCAACTGAATTCAACTATAGCAGCAGGCACTTTGGCTGAACTGTATTTAGAAAGCAATGACTCAGATCCACACACCTTAAAAGGTTATTCACAGTGAAGATAAGTTCAAAAACAATTTTTAAATAGGTTAGTCTTGACAATAATTTTAAAATGCAAGCCTCTCTGAAACCAGAATTTCTGCTTTTTAATTTCACAATTGAACAAGGATGTATAGTTTTCCAAAAGTCATGTGGTAAAACTCATCTGACAGTGAGGGGAACAAGTATGTATATGAGGGCCACACTCCTGTTCAAGTTTTACCTGAAATCTAACAGGCCTCAAAACTACAAGATTATACTTCAAGTTGCCCACAATGCAGTGTCTGGAAAGTGTGGAGAGGGAAGACATGTGCATGGGGAGGGGACATGCATCAGGCCTGTTTGGGGAAGCGCATATTGGTATGGAACAGGTATTAAGAGAGAGCTCAGAGGGGTCACTCTGACTCCAATGTCCCCAGTCTTCCAACACACCCCTTCCCCAATTGGGGTACATTTTGAAACTGCCTACTATTAATGACAATTCATTGTGTTTATCTTTTTATGCTACAAAAGTCAAACTTTTAATAATTAATTAACTTTACAGCACCATTTAGCACAGCAAAGAGGAGGAAAAAAGAAGGGGACAATGTGGATTTTGGCCTATTTTTTTTTTATAGCTTCGCTCCCTGCATTATATAATTATTTTTTCAGGTACCATAGCAAATTGATTAGTTTGGTGTGAGTTCTATACCTTTAACATATGCAGAGTTCTGTGAACCATAGTCAGTATGCCTTCTCTCAGGAAACTTTCAAGTCATGCATGCCACATTCCTGACTCTTGCCAACTAATGTGCTGCTCCTTCACCTTACAGTTCTGTCTTTTCTAGAATGTCACAGAAATGACAACAGACCATGGGTTGCTGTTATGGTTTAAGTATGAAATGTTTTCCAAAGACTCAAGTGTTGAAGGTTTGATCTCCAGTGCTGCCATGTTCAGAGGCTACATGCAGAGGTTGCTGGCCTCACCAATGAGTTTACAGCTGAATGACTATTAGGAAATGGGGCCAGCTGGGAGAAGCAGGGCACCAAGGCCTGCCTTTGAAGGACATATCTTCTTGGTCTCTCTCCTCTCTCTCCCCTCTCTTTTCCCCTCTCTCCCCTCTCTTCTCCCCTCTCTCCCTTCTCTTCTCCCCTCTCTCCCCTCTCTCCCCT